TATGATACATAAGAATCCTTCTTAGGTGTAATATCTAAAATGCCAAAGGTGTGAATATTTAGGTCTATCGACTAGACCACACGGGAAAAGAACATGGAAAATAATATACATGGGTAGGAACAAATTTTAGGATCATACCAAGTGGAGGGTTAGCATGGGGGGACATAGTTTTTGGCATGATGCTTGGTTAAGAGAGAGATCATTCAAAGAATAATTTTTCCATATCTATGATATTGCACGGAACAAGAATATCTCCGTACACGAGTCGTACAGAGACAAGGAGAGGAGGGGGAAAGGGAAGTGGCATGAGGAAGTTATGAGAAACTTTAACGATTGAAAAATTCATTATTATGGAACTCTCCTCCATACATTCTCTACTACTATAATCAATGGGAGTAAAGACTAATCTATTCGGAGACGCAATGCCACAGAGATCTTTCTCGGTCAGGTTCTTCTATAATTATTTGATTGAAAATGATACGATAGACTCAATGCTAGAGGGTCTTTCTCAGTCAAGTGCAAAATCAGAATTCCGACTAATGATTCAAGGGAGATTTGAATTATTATGACTAAATAGAATTTTAGAAGATTCGAAAATCAAGTGGGACAGCCACATACACCTATACTGTGATAATAAATCGACTACAAGCATAACATATAACCTATTACAACATGACATAATCAAATATATTGAAGTTGATAGATATTTCATCAAAGAAAAGTTAGACAATGGCTTAATATATAACCATACATGTTGACCAGTTCACATCTTGTAGATGCATTGACTAAAGATCTGAGTAATTCAGTATTCTAGACTTTCATTCACAAGTTGGGGATGAATAATATTTACTCCTAATTTGAGGGGGAGTATTAAAAAGAGTACGTAATTAGGTTAATGATATGAGGATAAAATACACCATATGTAATTAATGGTTTATTTCTTTTTTTATTCTAGAAAATTTGTATATATAGACTGTAATATTCAATAAAATACATATCTGGCTATTCTTAACAACATCTAGTGATGCTCAACTCAAGGATTAACACGGAGCACAAAATTGTCAATATGCTGATTTCCTCCTGTCTATAGGGTTTCACACTGCCAAACAATTGTACATTTCCCCTCTTTTTGTCATTAAAGAAATTGACCAAGTGCAAAATTTGCTAGGTTTTCATTTGGAAGCTCTATGATCTTGGTTTTATATCATTTGCCATTTCAAAACTCATGGACAAATTTTCTTTAATCATGGAAGAATAATGCAGTGCGGATTAAGTTTAGATCTCTTGGATAGGTTAGAAATTTAGTTATCAAAAAAAGAATAGATGAGAAATTTTATATATTTTTATTTTTAAGTTTAAAACTATTGTGCTATTTACAAATTATTATGATTTCGGTAACGTCAAGATTTCATTCTTTTTAAGGTTTTTGGTTTTCCTATTCTTATTAGTATTGGCAGTTCCTAATTTAATCCTATTTTTGCAAAATTATTTATTATTATTATTTTTGAAATAATTATTTTTGCAAAATTATGTAGGAATCATTATAAATATCTTCATGATCTCACTTTTAAGGGAGAGCCAATTACGTAATAAAATTCATCGAGAGTTCTCTCGATTTTCTAGTTTGATGGAATGAAAGCTTTGAGTGCAGTCGTTAAGAATTTTCTCTTAGGTGCAAAATCTAGGAAATGTTAGGTCTGATGTCTCTGTTTATCTGCAAATTCCCTAATGGGCAAATTTACCTAATTTATTCTAAATTACTCTGTTTCTCAAGGAAATAGAAGTATAAGACCATTCATTTGTTTCAGTGCCTAGTCTAATTCCATGCAGGGAAACATCTCTCTCGTACTTTCTATCATCTTTTTTTTGATGCTCATAAATCAAAGTCAGACTCTTGTAGCTTAAGAATTCTTGTAATGCTTAACCTAGCTCTAGCTCTCTTTTCGTTCTTCTTTAATCTCATGTTCTCTCGCCAGATGACTTTTCAGCCTTTCAGGTGAGTGGCCTTCTATCTCTAGTGCATTGCCTTGCCCAAGTTGCAATAACAATGTTTTTAAGCCATCATACTGAATACACTACATTTGATTTGTTTGAGGTTGAAGCCTAATTGAAGTTTGACTTCATGAGCACAGGGAAGGTGAAGAAATTTCAAATGATGGCAGATCTTCCTCATTGAGAGCTATAAGATGTAGATTATGACGAAGACTATAGCCTTCTTCTTTGGTTATCCAGATGCATGAATCTGATTGTCTTACCCTGCTAACCAGTTAAACTGGATTGTTTTTGGGGCTTGTTTTTGTTCAAGCAACACTTAGAATCCACATTTTTCTTTTCCTCAATAACTCTGTAACAGGCTGTAAAAGTGAACCCTACTTTATATGAATACCCCTCAAACCCCCAATGAGGACACAGTGCACCAGTTTGTTGTCTTTGGCTGTCTGTTTAGGTTCGTCCTTGTGGCAGATTGGGAATTTGCTGCTGATAATGTTTTTTTTTTCTCTCTCTCTATCCTTAAGAGAGAAAAAGAGAAGGTTGTTGCTTTGGTCCTTATTCAAGCATATACTACTAGGTTCTCTGTTTATGACCTATGATTTGACTTTTCTATTGTGTGACCTATGATTTGACTTTTTCTTTTTCCATGGGGTTATTCATGTTGCAGTTTACTCTACTTAACATCCTACAAGAACATCTTTATACTGAAATGAAAACTGTCACATCATAGCCAAAATGCCTTTTTGTTTTTGTTTTTGTTTTTCTATGAGCATTAGTGTTTCTAAGTGAGTTTAGATTTGTGTTTGATCCAAACTTATTCTATTACCTTTCAATTTCTAGATCTTAATTACTTGATATATAAAAGTTAATCATAATTTACATGTTTATCCATAGTTAAATCATTTTCAATCATATCTTCAATTTCACAAAGATGGACTTGTAATTTCACTTGTTAAAGAATTAATCATAAAAAAGACCTAACTTGAATTTTACATGGAATTGATTTGGAATTAGAATACTACTTTCATTTGAATTTCATCCATAGCTGTACTGTATTCTCATTCATATATAGTGGAATCGAAATTTGAATGAAACTCTGTTTTCCAATCAGATGCAAATCTTATGAGAGAGCCAAAAAGAAGTTGACAGTGCTGGAGGCGCCAAATATTCTTATTATTGTCTTAAAGCGATTTCAGGTAAATTTTTGTTTCCAGCCCGACTCTTATCTCTTTTGTGATCTTAAAAATTAGTGATTGCTACAATATGTATTTCTAGTCTGGTAACTTTGGAAAGTTGAATAAGCCCGTACGGTTCCCTGAGGTCCTCAACATGGCTCCATATATGAGTAGCACGAGTGATAAATTGCCTGTGTATAGTCTCTACGCAGTGGTTGTTCACCTGGATGTTATGAATGCTACAATTTCGGGTCATTATGTATGTTATGTGAAGAACTTCCGAGGGCAATGGTCTAGAATTGATGACAGTACGGTATGTTCCTTCTATGTCTTTTATTTTACTTGTGCATGATAACTTCTTTTGAGTTTAGACTTCGCATTGTTCTCTCTCTTTCTCTCTCCCTCTCCCCTTCCTTGCTTGAAAACCAAGGAACAGGTTCTTACTAAAAAAAAGAAGTTGATAATCCTTCCTCCTTCAAAAGTGAAGGAAGAGCTATCTTAATGTTCATTTTATATTTAAGATTTTGCATGAGCTTCAATGTTTGAGTGTTCATTGTGCAAGCAAATGCATTTAGTATTTCTTGACATACTTCATCTTGCTGATACATATTCTCCCCCTTTTTATTTCCTTTTCCAAATGTATGCATGCCAAGGGAATTTTATTATAGAACTACTATTATTATTTTGTGGATTGGTAGAAGAAAGTAATCTCTTTACCATATGAATACGTTTGGATAATTATGATGAGTAGGTGGATAGGATTTATAGATCTGATCAGTGGGCCTGTCACAAAATGTAGGTGATGCCTGTGGAGTTGGAGAGTGTCTTATTAGAATGTGCATACATGCTCTTGTATGCAAGGTAATGTCTTGATGGAACTGAATTTGATGCAGTTCTAATTGCCTATGGTGTTCCAATTTAACACCTTCAGTTTTCTAGGCACTCTCCTCGTGCCCCAGCTTTGGTAAGGAACAATCTAGACTCTTATGGCGCAAGGCTAAAAGGAAAAAACTTGGAAGCAGTTCCTTCTAGTAATGCATCAAAGGTGAAATCTTGCTCGAGTGTGCCAAGGGTGGATGCATCTACTGCAAGGCAGAGGCATGGCAAGAATCCTTACTGGATGACTTTGGATGGTCCAATCAGCAATCCATCGTTTGACCTGAATGACTTGAGATTTCACTCTATGCGAAGAATTCCCACAACAGATTCATCAAGTGAAAGCTCTTCCCTCTTCAGCTGCTCCGATGTGAGTTCTTGCAGCACTGCAAGCACCAAAAGTTCTTCTCAGACAGAGGACTTCTCAGATTACTTGTTTGGCGAAGTGGGTCCTAGTTGGTACAACCATTATGGGGTTTCCAACATACATTCAGGTGGGGAGAAGCATGCTTGAACTGGAGAACATAGCTAGAGAGAAAATTTAGAGGGGGATTGACACCCTACATTTTTGTGCTCTGACTCAACTAACCATAGACTTCTGGGCAATACTGGAGGGATTCTTAGGACCGCATATTGATCTTGTCTAACTCTTGCAATGCGATTTATCACTGAGAAGAGTAAGTGGGGATGGTCTGGATGGATCAGCTCAAACATTTTATTCAGGTTTGAGTTGGGATAAATTAAAGTGCTAATTGTTACAATTAGTGTAATAAAAGATAATAATATTCATTCTTTTCCTAATATATCATCTTTCTTCTTTCTTCCTCTTGAAATACCTCACGCCCTTTATTTTTTCCATTCTTTTCTTTGTCAACATGCATTTTAGCAGGCTAAAATAAGCCCATAGTGGCAAGAATGTAAGTTATGAATCGATCCTCGGTGGGTAGGTAAATGTTCCTAACGGTAATAGAATACTGACTGCTGTTCAAGTTTTGCCGATCTAATCATACCTTGTTCCAGATATTTGTGATGTGTTTTACAGGAGGAGACATTCTCATCTGTTCTTGTACTGCGATACATCTTGGATGAACAGAACTGTTGAAGGCTTTTGGTTTAAGTTAGGTAACCTTTTGAACGATCGAGGTGTTCATGAACCGTCTTTTGGATGGGGAGCGACTGCAAACACGAGCCGAGGCCCTCTGAAAAGCAGTCTTTGTTGGGTTTTGGAGCATTTCGCTCGTAAGAAATTGTTGGATCTTTAATTCCAAGAACTATAGGGGAGAGCAACTTTTTCGGCAACATTGTGGAACATTTTCCTGCTATTGACATCTCCGATCTAAGTCGAAATTAGGATGTTTTTATATATGGGAGCTAGTTCTTTGTATTTTTTGCTTTTTTAAAAAAAATTTCTAATTGCTTTAATATAATTATATAAGTATAAAAAAAATTAAGTTAATTCAAAAAAAATTGTCTTGAATGAACTCTTTATAGTTCAATAATGTTATGATACTTAAAAATCTTAAATTCTTTTTATATAGAACTTCAAATAATAGTGGTGTTTTGAATTTTAAAAATAATATAATATTGAATTTGATACATTGTTCGAATTGATTTTTTTTTTTATGAATATGTTTATATTTACGAGATACTTATGATAAAATTAAAAAAGAAATAGAAAATAATTTATTAAGTTTAACTTTTAAAAAAATCACAAAATAAAATTTAAAGGTATATTTAGAATGAATTTTTTAATTTATATAAATTGACAAATATACAAGACACATCAAAATATTTAATTTCTAAATTTATGATTTAAAAAAAATGTATAAAAACATTATAATAATTCATTATTTTTAAGCTTCCAAAAAATTGTAGCATTGAATACGATTATTTGTTAAAAAAAAAGAAAGAAAATCTGGATTTCATGTGAAACGACATCGTATAACAGAAAGCCCTTTTAACTCCCTCGGGACGGCCAGCACGCGCCTGATTAGCAAACAAATGCCTGTTGCAGTAGCAGTAACCTCTTCCTTCCATAGCTTCTATAAGCTCAACCATCGTTTATCAGCCTCGTTCCTTGCTACGCTAGCCTGCGCGACCCAGAAACCAATGGTGCCCGCTACCAGCAGCAATAGCTACAGTAACTTGGGCCCGTACAGGACGATCAAAGAGAGTGTGACTTTCGAGAAAGAAATTAAGAAGAGCAAATTCATCGCCGTCGCCGGTCCGATCTCCTCCGAACAATCGGCTCATTCCTTCCTATCCCAGGTCACTTGTATCCACCATATCGCTTTCTTTCCTGGAAACGAACTATGCATTGACATTTCCGGTGTCGATTTTTAGGTCCGCGATCCCCGTGCTACGCACAATTGTTGGGCTTACAAGGTACTATTGTACTATTATGTTCCTCATGATGATTCGAATGAATTTATTTTTACTGTTTTCTTGGTGGCTGTTGCTGAATTGATGAAATAAAGGATGAATCTTTGTTGATTTATCTAGATGTTGATGAAGTTTCCGGTTCTTCCTTTTCTGCGTAGGTAGGAGATCAATACCGTTCTAATGATGACGGGGAACCATCAGGTACGGCGGGAAAACCGATACTTTCTGCAATTGAATCATCCGGATTAGATAGAGTTATGGTGGTTGTCATTAGGTAATCATCTCAAAGCTATATTGATTTTTTGTTTTTCTTCTCTCTATACTTATGTTTGAATTGTATGTCAGGCATTTTGGTGGCATCAAACTAGGCACAGGGGGTCTTGTTAGGGCATATGGTGGAGTTGCATCAGAATGCTTGAGAAATGCTCCTTCCTGTGTGGTGAAATCTAAAGTAATTTTATGTTTTCCTAAGGCTGTCTGTCTCTCTTTTTTTTTTTCTAAGTGTCAAATAGATGACAGTTTCATATTTAAGTTGAGCTGATTCATGATTGGGAATAAGCTGTCACTGCAGTAATCTTCCTACAATAAGGGGTTTTTGGTTTCTTGCAGGTTCCAATGGGAGTGGAGATTCCATTTGAGCTTGTGGGAGTTCTATATCATCAGGTAACCCGGATGTATATAATTCTCAAAAAGATAAAAAAAAAAAAAAGAATTATACAGTTCAGTTGTTTTATATCAAAATGTTGATGTGGAAGTTCTTTATTTATAGAGCTACACTTCTACTCCTAATTTTATTTTTTCGGACTTAAAACTTCCACATGTTTGTATTTAGAATCTCAAATAGGTAAGATGTTCTCTAAAAAACAGCTTTATATAGAATAATAGAAAATAAATCACATGGTAATTGAATTATTAGAAAAGGCCACAGAAATTGAATTATGATAAAGCCAAAATATAAATGAAATTGTATATCGCACTTATTATAAGCATATGCTGCTCTGAATTGATCTTTGTGATTTTGGTGATTCACTCTTGTTCTTCATCCTTTAGTGATTGTCTCATTTCTGGCACTTGCATGGAAAGCTTGTTACATGTTACTGGAATGCACTAATTTTCTTCAGGGAACACTGATGGACTTATGGTAAAAAGTTCTGTTGAGTTGGAACATATGTAGAGTAGTCTTGAGCTAGACTAGTTAGTTATGCACAGATAACATGAATTTCTAAGAAAAAGGTCTTTATGTTACTGCTTGTCTTTATATTTCTGCTTTTTTGTTTTTTAGGATAGTCTACATTGATGCTTCCCTTTTGACCTTGAAGTCTTGGTTTTTTGTTATTGAATTCGGAATTTCTAATTGTACCTTGATATACACAGCTACAATCTTTTCAAGTTGAGGGCATCAAGCAGGACTATGATACTGGAAAAGATGGCATCACCATGGTAACTTTCAAAGTTGATTTTGACCAGGTTGAGAAATTGGAGGATGCTCTGAAAGCAAATTGCAGCAGAGACATTGTGTTTTATAAATGATGATGCTGTTAGTCATACATCAGCAATTCTCAATGCTCAGACCTTTTATTTCATCATGGAGTAAGGCACTTTAGAGTTATTATGCACACCTCCTTTCCGCTGTAAAATTTTTGATGTGCCTGATCAGAATTGTGATTATCTCCACAATTATTAACCAATTGCTTTGGGAAGCACTAGTATGAATCATTGCCAAAGCTGTTCTCAGCTGATATGTTATTACTGTAAATATTATCATCATGTCAATAGGCCAAGTTCTGTACACTTGCAATATATTATAGTTGCTGTTTTAAACAGCCTTAAGATATATTGATACTTTCGCGAATCTACCAACTGCATGAAGTCCACCTAGCTGGAATATCTATATAGAACTGATTTGAACTGATTTTTCATCAGAGTCTGGGCATTATCTTTGTTATTGCAAGGCCATTTATTAAACTAGTTTATAGCCTGTTCATTTCTTAAAAGTTCCAGTTGCTTGCTCTAATCCGTCCTTCCAATTTTCAGTTTAACCTTTAAGAGACCAGAAGTAGACATATTCACTAAAGATGGGTATCCCAGAATATATAACACAATGAAACATATTGTATGAAATTCTCAGAACAGAAATATATAACACAAAAAGAAATGGTGAATCAATCAGTGTCTAAGATGAGTGAATCAGATTTGCTTTAGGCAAACAGATGCAAAGGCTCAAGAGCTGGAGATTCAATCTGATGGCGGTGGAGAGAGGAAGGGAATAGTAGGCACTGTTGTTGGAATGATTACCGGAATTGTGGGCAGAGGAGTTGCAGGCAAGGTTGGCAATTCTGGATTTGGCAAAGATGGAGAAGGCAGCATTGTAGATTTCAGAAGAGTTGGTAGGTGTTGGCAAAGGTGGTAGCATGGACTTAGGAAGTGATAGAATTGTGGGCAGCACTGGAGCTGGAGGCGGAGTGGCTGGTGTACTGTCTAAAAGATGGCGAGCTGCCGATGCCTGACAATGCCAATGCCACCATTAGAGCAGAATCCATGATAAAAGGAATATGGGTCTGTTTCTGACTCTCTGTTGCTTACATGGGTAAGTCTTCGTAAGTGATTTTTGTTTATGAGAAGCATTTATATAAGATGAGCTATATACAGAGAATATATGAAGAAGAACTGTGAAAACTCATGTAGTATAGGGTAGGGTAAGAACTCTTACTCTACCATATTCGATGTTTGACCTAACTAATTTTGTATAGAACAATGCACTTCCTACCCTAGGTTTAGTAGGAAGTGCATTAATTTCTTAGTCCAAAAGAAAATGGTGTCCATATTGAAAATGTTTTAGTATCAAACTAGAGATTTCTTGATTCATAATTTTGAATGTTAATTTTTTTTCATACTTTAGCATAAAAAAGAGTGTATCGCTTTAATGTATCAAAATAAAATACTTGAATCATTTAAAATTATTGTTTCTTGACACTTAAGCAAATGCTCATTTTATTTGGTGGGGTAAAATAAAGACGCGTTGTTCCATTGGTTTGTCTCTTATAAATTATTTATGAGTCGAGAAATATGAGTGTCTTGGTTTATAATTTTAAAAGTTTAAGTCTCTTATTATTTACTATGAACTAATAGTTTTTCAGTGTCTCATATTAAAAATATGTTTACTTTTGCAATTGAAAATGAGTCAATTTATTATTTGAAGATAGATATCACTTGATCCGATAATGTAAAGTAAATTGATTTTTTCCTTTCGACTTAAATGTATTTATGCAGGTAAGCAAGCGTTCCTCAATTTCTCGAGTGGAAATAAAACCGAAGTTTGACGAGTTGTGGTTGGGTTAAATGCAAAGAAAACCTTGGTTAGTTGACCTCCCAATAGACTTATGTTCTGTTAATTCAAATAAATAACCTAAAGTCAATAGGTTAATATACCCAACCTTCTTAAATTCTCCCTCTATGACCTTTTAGGAATAGATATTCACATACATAACTTTTTCCTTGAGGTTGATATAACCATTTTGAATATTTACTAGGTAGGTAATCTTGAACTTTCACAACTCATACATCTATATATATATATATATATAATATTATGGAGAATTCAATTTTATTTCTTAAGCATTATTTATGGAAGCAAATCCAAATAATTAAAATAAAAAGTACACATTTTTAACAATTAGTACTAACCATTATGGATTGAATTAAAGTAAATTTTTTATAAATTTATTTACGATATTTAATGATGACTGACTGAATCAATTTAAGAGAAAAATTACATGATCGGATTTATATGTATTAGTATTTTATAATTTTACTTAAAAGTGATATACTTAATTCGTTAATCATAAATTAAATTGGGCCATAGATTTAATAAAAAGTAACGTAACGTAACATATTTTAAGATCGAAATAGCTAAACATCATCGTCATATTCATTAAATCAACTATGTATTACCAGGAGGAACAAAATCCAAGCCAAACAAAATTATTAGAACGTGAAAATCAAACACCAGTAGGCCATGACTAGACAAAAATCAAACATTAACTCAATCCTGCAAACATGAAAGCCAAGGGCAAGGCTGCAAATCCAAACAAAGAAAGAAACCAGTCAAATAGAGTTTTAACGGGCTCAATTCGATGGGGGTGGAGAGAGGAAAGAGATTGGTAGAGGAGTTGTAGGCATTGGAGGCAGTGTCAATTTTGGCAGAGATGGGACCGTGGTGCTCGGCAATGGCGGCAACGTGGCCTTCGGCAAAGTTGGTTGGGTTGGCAAGGAAGGTAATGGTGGCAAGGATGCTTTAGGTAGAGGTGGTATTGGAATTGTTGGCATTGGTAGCACCGGAGGAGGAGCTGCAGGTGTGTCTAAAAGGCGGCGAGCAGCCAGGCTCACGTTGAAGATTGACAACGACAAAGTTACAGTCAAAATAAAAATGAAGGAATTATTTGGTACAGCCATTGATTTGATCAGAGAGGTAACCAGGGATTGCTACAGCTTGGGGTAAAGAGGAAGTTGTGCGAGTCTCTTGGAGATGGAGGAGGCAGGATTTGATCATATGATGATTTATAGGGAGGATTTTGTTGATGGGTTCATGAAATTTTGATGAGATTTAGGGGGGGAAAACTTGGAGGAGCTATGGTTAGTTTAACTTCTCAACAACACTCCAAGTCTAATTTAATGTCAACACAGCTAAAATAAGGATGATACAATTGGGATTGACTTACATGATACATTGATAATAACCCACTTCATAAAATTAACAGAAAAATCCAAGCTAACCATCAACTTTTATCTTGAGTAATATCTAAAAAATCAATATGGTAAGTTTGTCAGTCACTAATGAAGTTGTCGCCTGTGGTAAAGCATTTTCAGTTACAGTTTACAGAACAATTGCGGTACAGATTCAGTTAACACAAGTTTCTGCAAGTTCCCATCTACAATCACAACATAAGGTTCATAAAACTGGAACAGGGAAAGTAATCAGTTGGAGACTCGATGCTTACTGTTTCCTGGTGAAGAAGGCGAATCCATAATTGCCCTCAGCATCCTCTTTAACCTAACAATTCCTTCATTCCCAAGAAATCCCTGAATCCACAACACATGCCTGGCTCTTCCGCCAACTATTACCATCTCAGCCCTCAATATTTTTCCCTTTGTTGACTTCAGTGCCTCTGTTATGTTAGATATCAATGCAAGTCTATCTTCGCAGCTAAACGCGATTTTTACTAGCGTCTTCTCTTTGTTACAATACTTAAGATTTAAACTGTCTTGTTCGCAGGGAAACAACCTTTTCGACTTGCCACAAGAATCTAATTCCAACTCTTTCACCGTCTTCTTTAGTTGCGTCACCTGCTGGATTGCCTCGCCCAGCACGGAAGCCTTGTCCATCTGTTATTTTAGAAGTTATTTAGTGAAATAATCAATTTGTGGCATTTGGTAAAATTACAATACATCACCAGATAAAAATATAGTGCAACATGAATACTTGGTACATGAAGTATATGATTAACATGTCCTGTCCAAGTTACAAAATCTTGTCCCAAGATCTATCAGTTATAAATTTTTTAATTGTTTCTATAAAACTTACGTTTTAAGCTCTCAAACATAATGCTCATCATTATAATATGATGATCAATGAACAAGAAACACAAAATTTACGTGCTACTTACTTTGGTCAGGTTCGGTAGGATAGTCCGGAGGGCTGCAAATTGAGAATTGATTCTAAATCGCCGTCTCCTCTCAGCCTCGCTATGCTTCTTTGCAGCAATTGCTAGGGCTTCAGCCTTTGATATCGCTGGTTTTGTCGAAAGTATTCCATTAAGAAAGCTGCATTGCTTTGCATTGTTGGATACTCTACCATGAAAAAGGCTACTTCTCATTGTATATGTCCTTGGAGGATAGTGGCTTGCACTTTGCCGCATATGCTGTTCTATCTAAATGGTAAATTTAAGCAACCAAAAGTAAGTAACTAAACGAATGAATTGGAAAAATTATTTTCCGAAACGATTGTTGGCAGAATAGAATATAACATGAGCTTATACCCGTTTCGTAAAATTATTTACAGAATAAATTGGAAGTATAAGAAAAATTAACAAAATAGGACAGCAAAAGGAAAATCAAAGGAAATCTACCTGTTGCAGCCAAATCATGGTGAGAGAGTAGAAATCCACCTTCCACAGAGATGAAGTGATACTCTATTGGAAAGAAATGGAGGGAAGAAGAGAAAAGTGGAGTGATGGACAGAATGATTCTGTGAGGATGTTGTGTTTTTAAAGGGAAATCAATTGCAGGTTGAAAGATATAAAACCTAATAAATGGAAATTTATTTATCCAACTGGAGCTGATTCTAAACATAATGAACTGTAATTCTGTATTATATATAAAAGCAGCTGATTTTGTTCTTAATTTCAAGATTCTGTAATCTGCACTGATTGTTATTGTCTTCCCTCTCATGGGAAAAGCCTTTAAGACAATTATTGTTCAATCATTCGTCATTTCCATGGAAATAAAGGCTTCAGAAAAGGTTCTATTTTCTGATTTCTTCAAGGCATGGTGGTAGTACACAGAAAAAAGGAATCATACAAGAGGAGGCAACATTTGAAGCAGGTCTTAAAAATTGATGAGTTTTACCAGAAGAACACTTCAAAATCCAACTCTTAATATTCGACAACCTAAATCTGATGCATATCTCATGCCAAAATCTTTTACTTTTAATGCGAGATTTCAAGTTTATTACTTAATGATTAGCACATAACAACTCATTTTGCTACGAAATCTTATTAATCAAGTACAAGAGTATTCGACTTAGTTTAATCTTTTACCAGCAAAACTCAGAAGTTTTCTTATAACATCTCTTAATTTTATGACGTGTTCAATAAACGGAAAAAAAAAATGAATATCTCTAAAAAAGATTTTAAAGTTCATTACTTTTTTTTTTGTTTCCACTCGGACCAATCCGACTATTTGATTTCTTATATTTAAAGGATCCGTGTATCTACTTCAATGATATTATTGTTTCGTACTATTATGGAAGAAGATTTGGATAAAATATACACTTTCATTTGGTATTTTATCGTAAATTTTTTGACTTCTTGATACTCAATCATATCCTCTTTTTTGACGATTAATAAAAAATTTAGAAGTCGCGCAGCTAATAAGCCAATTCCGTATACTAACTTTACACGATGGAGCATTTTCCTAAAATTATTAAAGACTCGTAAATTCTCTAGCAGTTTTTAGTTTTATGACATGCTTGGTAAATAAAAAAAATTTGCAAGTAAGAGAGTTTATAAGATCTTACAGGAACAATGTCATTGAATGGCTAGTTAGAAAGTCCAACTAGGTACTTACAAACCCTAGTGCAAAACTGTAGCTACTTATGAACTCCATAATACAAACATGGCTTTCACACTGCCAGACATCTTGCCAAACCTCCAGCTATCATCATCCCCAGCAAAAAAGAAAGTTCTATAACCAAAATTTTGGAGAAGTGAGTGGTAAAGTCAGCATGTACATCAATGATTCAAAGACTGGAATGGCAATTTCCACCATGACATCAAGAGGAGAAAAAGAGAATTCAGAAGTTTTACAAAGAGAGAGAGGGCAAGGAAAATGAAAGTCAATTCCATATCAAAGATTTCAGAAGCCTCCTCCCAGTCGTGGGGAGATTACAATGACAACTTCATAAAAGCTGACTAATCTTAGGGGAAACAAAGGGGAAGGAGGCACGGAAAAGCACGAAAACAGACGAAAATCAGGTCGGAAATCAATTTATTCTGTCGTATCTTATCATCCCAAATTTCTTGGAGGATGTGGCTTTCTGCAGCACATCGAATATCCTGATACAGAACTCCTCGAAGGGATGGACGCTTTTCATTTGGATTTTTTTTCGGATTTTATTTTGACTTTCTTATCTCTTGTTCGGAAAAGATAAAGAATATGTGAAGAATTTTAAGAATTGTGTGTTAATTCACTTCAATGATTCATTAAAGTGAATTAATACGTATTCAAATAGATAGAATTCTATATAATATAAAGAACGAAAAATCTAGAGCGGGTAACTGGAATCGAACCCGCATCGTTAGTTTGGAAGGTTAGGGGTTATAGTCAACGTCGATTCATTATTTTTAACGTATCTAATTCAAAACCAGACACGAAACTTTGGTTTCATTCGGCTCCTTTATGGAAGATGGATAAATTCCTAAATCTAACAAGACGGAAACAAAATAAAAATAAAAATTAGATCCATAACATTTACGTTAACTTTTCTCTTTGGATTTTGAATTCAGGATTCAGGATTCTGGATGGATTCTAACTCGGAACAATTTACTTTTAAAATGATCCCTCTAGCAGAGGGGGAGTATAATAATCTTTCTAGTTATTTTGTTCTCTATTTCTATTTAATAGAATTCTTAGGAAAAATATTTTGTTTCCACCGAAGTAAAACAATATGTCGATCCCTTTAATAAACTTAAGTTATCGTTTAATAGTCGTTTTGTCTCAATTTATTGTATACAAAATAAAAAAGGAATTGAAGATTTAGTTACAATTAGAAAGAAATTTTTTTTAATCTTTATCAATGAATCTTTTTCTCATACTCATTCAATTGGAAATAATGAGCCAATTCCTAAATTAAGCTTCGTAATTTCATAATCCAATTTCTCAATTTATAATTATCTCTTGGATACAAATAACGAGAATACATGTTCTTCCTCGAATCTTTTATTAAAAGATAAATAATTAAATATTTTTAAGAAAAAATTTTTTTGATCATAAGATGAATCAAATCAAAAGATTTCTTTAACTATTAAAGGAGTTAATAGAATGGATCATACTTTTACCATTAAACTATATCCGTTACAATGTGATTATTGTATAAAAATAAATTTTTTATCGAATAAGATAATCCAACGTAATCAAAATAGAATTAGAAAAAATTTCAAAAATTTAAGTATTAACGTGTTTTGTCAACAAATCTAATGAAATTAGTAAAAGCCGACTCATTTCAGTTATTTATTTTAATAACTAAATAACAAGTTCTTTTTCTTTTTCCTTTTGTTGGAGGAATTTTGATAGATAAGGTTCGGCAAAAGGGCTTAATTCATAACATAAAAATATCAAAAATAGATTGGAAAATTTCGTAATTTTTTATTTTTATATTTTTTTATTAAAATATATTATTATATAATAAAAATATATTAAAAACATAATACAATAAATAAATAACAACACAATAAAGATTTTATATTATATATTACATAATAAATATAAAATAAAATAAATGTAAATAAAATATATATATATATAAATGAAACTTTGATTCTTTTACCATAAGAATAGTAATAGTCATTCTTATTCTTATGTTTCTGATTCTTGCTTCACTCCGATAATTTTTTTGAAATCAAACGAATCATTTTTTCTATCATTCATTGCACAAAAATAAAAGTTCGAACGGGTACGAAATAAAAAAAAAACCTTTTTAACGAGATGAAATTGTATATCTTTTTTATACTTATATCGAAATGAAATTATTAATAAAAGTTATATATATATATAAATTAATAATCTTTACAAAAAAAAAGTAAAAAAAATTCCTGAACAAGAATCATCATTCCAGCTTTGATGAAATCTGAACATAAGTTTAAATCAGCCAAGAACACTTTCTTCAAAAACTGCTGGAACTTTGTTAGATTAATGCATAATCTGCAGACAAGAATAAATTGACCAAAAGTTTAAACCAAAGAATTTTCTTAGTAAGTCAAAGTTCAAGGTTCAATTTCTTGTTCTTCAATCGCTGAGTAACAACTGTTCAACCAACAACCACAACTCTCAGCTCAACTTAAGGAATAAGGTTGGACTATTCACAGAATCACCATATAATCAATATCATGTAAATTTGGGGAGGACAAGATTGGAGATCTACTGCAAAAGACAATCGAAATGTATAAACTCGATCATGAAAGCAATCGGGTGGAAACTAAATAAATGCACGAAATGGAGAATAACAGCCAGAAAGTTCCATACTGATTTTCATTTAGAAGATGGAGTCATATGTTCAAGAACTATACCCTTATTGTTGGGTGACTTTTCTACTGTAAGAATATCAGAGCACACTGTCTAAGACCTATACTGTTCCTTTCAAAGTTCTGTTCAACAAGAACATCAAAATTCTAAGTTCATCTTGATCCAAGCTGCTGCACCCATCTAGAATCAAATCAAAACCAAAAGTATGCAAACAAATGAAGAAGGTTCAGTGCCAAGCCAAAATGCATACCTTTGTCTTCCCCATTTTCTTTGCATCAAAATGCCTTCAAACTATCAAAGATGTCATCATAATCTCCTTCAGAGACCTCTAACTCATCTTCAGAAGATATTAAGATAATATTGCTTTCTATCCTACATTCCTCCACATCCAGACCCTCTTGTCCACCAGCTACGGATGCAGTCTTCATGTGCCTCGTCCCCTTTTCCCTCCTCACAGCCGCTTTCTTTCCCCTCTCCTTCTGTGTCTCCTGTGCCTTGCTAGCATTCGCAGCTTCAATACCATTCAATTTTGTCCCACTTCCCTTTCCCTCTCTCTTCACTGCTTCTTCTTCTACCTTCTTACCAGTTGCAAAAATTTTGCGTTTCTTCACATTTATTCTCTCCTCTCCGTCATCACTATCGTCAGAAATGACCCCAACATTATCCATCCTATCGTTCCTAGTCCCACCCTTACCTTTGTTTTCAATAAAGAAACCATCCCGAGGAAGAAGCATCGGAAAAAACCCTACCGCACAATGGTATTCATCCCTTCCCTCCACCCTCACATCCTGCGGCAATGGTGGCACCTCCAAGCCATGAAATGCCCTCTTGCAATTCTGACACCGCAAGGAACAATCCTCGTACACCTTCTCGTACTCGAACATGCAGTAACAGTAAGGACAGAAAGTCCAAAAAGTGGCATTCTCCTTTTCAACGCTATGTTTTTGCTTCTCCTCGCTCCTTTCGCCATTTAAGGGGTTCTCATCGTACTGGTTTTCCACTCGAGGTACACTCTCGGTCCCACTTTCGTCGCTCCCTGCCACTTTTCCCCCGCGCGGTTCCTTGCTGCCATTGCTAATCTCAGCATCGTATACGGTCTTCTTTTCTGGATCCGATAACACCTTCCATGCATCCAAAACAAGATTGAATGCATCCTTAGAGAGAGGGAATTTGCTCGCGCGAGGGTTTAAGAGAGTTATCAGTTTGTTGAACTGAGCAAAAGCAACGGATCGGATATCCGACCCGGTGCGGGGTATCTGAAGGATCGAGTAATAGTCAGGGCGGTTGTTGGGGAGGCAGCATTTGGCGGCAAGAACATCAGCAATGGCGATGATTTGGTCGGGTCCGGAAAGTTTGGATCGGATTCTTGGGCCATGAGAGCGAATTTACGGCTGTTGGAGAAGTCATGGAGGTCGAGAAGCTGAGACGAGAGCTCCATTAAACTCCTGGGTGTTTGTTCTGTGGACCCGCTCTCCATTTTTTCTTTTCCACTGTCACTTTACCAAGGGTGAGGTAGAAGAAGCTCCCTTTATGCAACAGAATTCTCGCGTGGACGGCTGTGATGGCAAGAGGCGTAAAATCAGAGGGCTGTGATTTTTCTTAGAATTTTCTTAGGATTTTATTGGGATACAATATTTTTTCCCCACATGTATCCCAATGGTTGGTCAATTTTACCTTTTTCAGAAAATGCATTTTTTTTATTTTAAGAAAGAAAATAATTTTTTTTAAAAAAAAAAGAAAAATAAATTTCTCTATTAGCCAAAATATTTATTTTGTTATTTTGATTAAACTAAACCATTTCGTACAAAAAATAATAAAAATTGATTGTAAAAAAAATTAATGATAATTAATATAATATTTATATATTTTTAACGTTAATAATATATTTTAAGTAATTTAAAATTTTTAATTATATTAATTTTCTATTTAAATCAAACCCATAACATTAGAATTGTGGGCTTCGGATAAAACTAGTTTTGGGCCCATTACCAACTTAAAATTTACGGGCTTGAAACCAATTTCAATAGACGATTAAATGGGCCCAAGAAAAAGAAAATTTACGAACATGGATAATTATTTAATTTTTAATTAATAATGAGAATAATAATAATAAACTACAATTAAAATATATATATATATAAATAGTTATATGTATATGTATATATATATATATATATTTGTAGGTATACTACCCTATCTCTATCGATTATGCTTTAAGGCCAACCAACCCATATCCCACAATCCCTTCCACGTAAAGAACTTTTAAATCTAACATCTCCCTCCCCCTCCATAATTTGGAATAATAACCCAATTTTATCTGAAAATTTGGCGCCTAAATTTGAATAAACCAACTGAAATACCTTCTTTAACGGTCAATTACTTCTTAAAACCATCTTATTTATGCATGTCATCTTCACCATTCTGCTTCAATGGCCCCATGTTCTTCGTGTCCATTTCATGCTCCCTCCATATTTAAACTCTGAAAGTAAGTGAAGATCCATGGTATTTCAAGATGAACCGACAAGAAGACAAACTGGGTTACTCAATTAGTCAGTTCATGTTACTGTTTCCTACTTTGTTTTTTTTTTTGTTCAGCAGATCATAATTTTTTTTTTTTTCTTCTGGGTTCTTGCAGATTCTTGTGTAGCGTCCGACTTCTACGAGTCTCCGAATGACAATGATGGCGGTACGGGTAACAATCGTTGGAGAGATCGAGTGGTAAGTATATGTGTTTGCTAAGTAATTCTGGTTTGTGGGAGTTAGAAATATAAATTGATGAAGAAGGAAACAGTATTAATGTGACTTGGGTGATCTGTATATATCTTGAAGGCTAATGTGGTTATGGCCATTTACAGTGTAAAATAGTTATACTCAATATTTCTTGTATAACCCACTTATGTAGCTGTGTATTTAGAGGGCGTGTACAATATTTTGTATTAATCTTTTGTAATGGTGATCATATACATATATTTCATATATATTCTTGTGCTTGTAGTCTATAAGTTTGATCTTGATTGCAGGTTAGTGTTAATGGCAACCCTTTGCGGGTTAATAAAGCAGAGAAAACTAGGCAAAAATTGGTGAGCAACAACTTATCCGAAGAAGAGTTGAAAATAAAAAACGAGCTCGAAATCGAAATCGAGAACGATTTGGAGGAGGAAATCAAAGAGGAAATTTATCGTCTCGCATTCAAACTTCATAGATTGTATCAGAACAGAAAGAAAAGGGAAAACGAGCAAGGAGGAATGCAAGAATCAATCGAGAAGACGATTTCGGAGGTGAATGTAAGTATAAAAATGGAGGGGGGAACAAGAATTGAGATCAAAGAGATAAAGAAAAAAGAAAAGGAATCAAGTATTAATAACAGGCCAAGGAGCTCAAGATCAGAAAACAATGGAGGATTTCAAAGGATGACTGTTTGTTCTCATGGTATTAAGAAATTCGATTGGAGGAATAGCTTGAGAGCAGGAAAGTTACAAAACAAAGGTAAAAGGGTAATTGAATGGAGATGGTAACTAAGATTAATTTTTTTTTTTTTTTTACTTACACTAAAATTGATTTGGTTGGATTAACTAAATTGGGTTTTTTTAGAAGATTATTGGGTATGTTATGAAAATATAAATATTTCAATATTATTTACACTTAGAGATATGACTATAATAATGATAAATAATTATATGTATAATCTAATTAATAAAAAAATTATTTCAATTTTTTGAAAAAATTTGATTATAAAAAGTGTGTGTGTGTGTATATATATATTCTTTCACTAAAAGAAAACCAAATGTACTAACTAGTGAATGTAATATATTTCTTGTGTATGTAAGGTTGAGTACCTTTGCTTTTTTCTTTATACTTAAAAACTCCCAAACACGGCCTTACATGTTCCTGCTCTCTTTTCCATCATTTCCTAAATTTCTCATGCATCTCCATCTTCTTTCATCACCTCCATGTCATTTCTATTCTCTCTTTTTGCACTGCAGTGCTCATGGTATTGTCATATTTCAATTATATATTTACATATATATATATATAACAAAATAACAAAATTTTAATTAAACCCAGAAATTTCCCACATTTAAATAAAGTATTATCCTTTCGAGATTTGATTTCTCGTACCCTCAATTCTAATCGTGTAGAATATTATAACATTCTCTATATTATCGTATTGTATATAATCACGAGCTTCGAAATTATTGTTTAATTCAGCGCAACAAAAAATGAAATTAGATATTATAAAATATTTAATTACTTTCGTAGAAGTATAATTTTTTTTTTTTTTTTTCTAAAACAACTAGAGAAAAAATACTTATCGATCTATGACCAACATGTATAATTATCATCGAAGGGAAATCCAACTAGTAGCAACGAAAGATAGTAATCGTTCAACAAGAAATTGCAAGAGTTACGCGGGTAATATTTTGGATTTCTCTCGTAAAGTTTATCGACGTCTATTCAATTATATAATTAACATGAGTTTTAGTAATAAACATACGTATTAGTTGATTGTCTAATGCTAATCCACCATATGCATATTATCATATCTGTTACCGTGCAGAATGTGGGTGACAAGCTATGGACCATCAAAATTTTCATCATCACCTACATACATATATGCATATGAACTCTGTGTGTGTGTGTGTGAGTGTGTGTGTGTGTAAATATAAGTATATATATGAGGTGAAAATGAGAGAAACAGGGATGAATCTGTGGGACTTTGAGAGAAATCAAAGGGAGCAACATTGTAAAACAGGAATCCCATGAAAAGTTGAATGAAAGCAGTGTTTGGATATTCAGTGGGGACGACAAAGGGGAAAAAGGAAAGAAATTTGTAGAGCTCAGCCATTGAATCGTCTTAGTCATTGCACTGCCATCCACATCTTTTTGAACTTAAATCTGTACATGCAATTATATTCTTTCATCGTCTTCTACAATTTTTAATTATTTATTTTTAAAAAAATATTTCCAGTTATGTATATTTTTCACCATATATATATATATATATATAAAATACATCATATGAAACTGTAATAAATGTGTTAATACCAAATTTAATGAATCCTAAATCCACCAACATAAGTAATTAATTAATCCATAAAGCCTGCATTCACCCCTACGTACACAACTGAAGAACCAAGAGCAGTATACATGTATATATATATATGTATGTGTGTATATATATGTATTTATGTACAGTACAACACACAGGCTCGAAGGGTACAAGAGAAGAATTGAAAGATAGAAAGTACTAACAAAAAAAACATGTACTAATTCACCATAATATATAACTAATTACTGGCTGGGAAAATACTTAATTAGCACCAATTAATTACCCCATTTCAGATAAGTGCTTGAGCTAATATAGAATTAAGATTAATTAATCAAAGAAACAATTAATTACCCATTTTAGATTACTGTCCAAACAAGTGTAAATACTAAAAGAGAGTACCCAAAATGGTAGAAGAGAATGAACAATCACTGTCTGATGAATAAGTTTTTAATTAATGGTCCTTGACCACACCTTTGTTTTGCAGCTTTATTAATTGATACTTCCATGTATAGCTTTAAATTTTCCCAATCAAGCAAAGCATCTTTAAAAGAGTGCATATGACTCTAATAAACATATATATAAGAGATAGTTGTGTACGTGTATGTATATATATATATATATATAGATGTAATAATAAGTTTGTAACATCAAACCCTCAAAAAAGAACAAGTTAAAAGGGACCAAAAACAAGCACGCTTGTCTAAATCTTACCTCATATAAGGAATCAGGTCCCCCCTCTTGCCATGCAATCTTGATACTCACTACTGCTAATAACATCCCGAACCTCTTTATAGTATATATATATATATATATTCATGTCACATTTGCTCCTAATTTTTTAATATAAAACAGTCGAGCACTTACTTTAACTTAAGATGTTATTATTTTAGATCGAATTAAACCAAATGATCTTCAGTTTAAGAATAAGAAAGTCGAAAACTAATTCATTTCGATATGTACCGAAATAAAGTAGAACAGAACGAAATGCGAGTTGAAAAAAAAAAAAAAACTTTGGAACTCAAGACCGGTCATGGTAAAGTAAAAATCCTTCAAAATGTACAATATATTTTAAGCTTGGCAAAAGATACGCTAAGTATGATAAAGAATAAAAGGTTTCCATTTAATGTCTCAAATGTAGAAAATTTTGTTCTTAAAACTAGTGAAAAAATAACAATTCTTAAGTTATGGCATTTGCGGTATGGGCGTCTCAACGTCAAAGGTTTGAAGTTGTTGAATATGACATTTGTAGTTTTTGGTTTGTCGAAAAATGTATTCTTTTAGTTTATGCGAATGATGCATATATCGCATACAGACAAGGAAGCCATTTCTAGTTGGAAGGTTTGGAAAGCTTCTAAATGTCTTGAATTGATTCATGTAGATCTGCATGAACCAACAAATACTGAGTCATTTGATGGAACTCGTTATTTTTTTTACTCATAATTAACATTTTAGTCATATGAGCTGAATATATTTTTACGCAAAAATAAATTAAAAACTTTTGAACGTTTCACTTTATGATCTCGATTGAGAAGTCAAATGAGTGTTATATAAAAGTCCTTCAATCCAAT